TCTCCATGGATTCACAAGCGATTTCCACGTACTTGTCTTGAAATAAATACATATTCTACGAGTGAGGTTTCTCTTCGTTGCTTGTTTGTGATCGCGGTGCTCATATTGCCAGTCCTTTGGAGGCACTCGAATGGCACTCGATCAATCACTAAGGCGCAATAACGATACATAGCAATTATTCACCGAAGTGGAGGTGGCTAGCCACCAACACTGAGGTGAATAATTGTTTTAGTATATACTAAAACAGCGAGATAATACTCATTTATTGTTGCCAACGATTACAATTTTGGCGCACAATGTCCGAGCGGCCGATGTCGTCGCTTTTTCTTGCCGACAAATAAAAATTTTGAAGGCATTTGTTTAGCTCTGACGGGGAAATTTCTTCAAAAGGAGTTGTGAATTCTTTTTGTATTTGAAATAATTCTGTAAAAAGATTTTTAGATTTAGTTTTAAGTTAATTTATGAACAAGTCAACTTAGTAAAGCAACGCAAGACTTACGCTTAATTTGCATTTGTACACAAAAAACTTTTTCACCAATTTTATCGATAAATTCAAGTCAAAAAGACAAAGCTTTACCTGTTAAAACTTCCAAACCCAACTTCGTCACCTTCTTGGTGTATTTCGGTAACAGCATGCTTGATTAGTTGTGAAATTTCTTTGTTTATTACGGCAGCAAACCGGGAAGGCAGTTTGCTCGCAACTTACGCGAGTTTAGCGTCTCTCGCTCGGAGGAACTGGAGGTGAATCAGTGAATAGTGCAGGATATTCACCGACTGAGTAGCCAATCAGAGCCCGCGAAAAACGCTATCCACTGTTTTAGTATATTTATCAATTATTCCTCGAGTCCGAATGGGCTCTGAGTCAATAGCCCACGAGGCCGAAGACTGAATGGGCTATTGACTCAGAGACCATGAGGGCGAAAGGAATAATTATTTGGGCGTGGCCCAAATAGAGTAATGGAAACGGCTTGTTTTGACGCAAATGTGCAATAGGCACGCAATACGTGCTAACGTAAACAAGACAAGTAAATCATGGAAAGACAATTTTAATTGCATGTTTCCTAAGAGGTCATCTGAATTTGCTGTTTTCTTTATTTTATGTCCATTTTTTGTGATTGGTCGATTTTGTTAGGTCGAGTGGATGATCCAATGAGGGACGATTTGGATATCGTTTGATCCGAAATTTTTCGAAGCAGCAGTGAGAAGCAGTTTGGGTAAGATTTGGCCGCGGCGTTTCGGGGAACGTGTTAATATATTGTTCAATTATGTTATCCCGGGTTAAATGCACACACTGTTCGCGGTAGGCCCACACTAAAAAAATAACACTGAGTGTTTTCGGAATGGGCTGGTCCGCGAACTCAAAGAAAAACAAAGGAAATTATCAAGACATTCAATGACATGAAAGACTCATGGACCCCACAGACGTAATAACAAATCGGAATGTCGGGAGTGTACGTGTAAAATGGATAAGAGTTTTAACAGAGGAATGTTTAACAAGTTTGAGAGTCGCAAGGTTTGTGTAGCTGGTTATCACTGTGACAATAGTGATTTTGATTTATGCATTACGGAGCACAACGAGTTGCCCGTGATAAAAATCTGTTCCGATGAAGGAAGAGACGATTGTCAACAATTGAAACCAAAAGGGACTGAGGCTTCTTTTGGAACTACTGTGATAACTGCAACAATTCTTTTTATTATGTCAATTTTGTTTAGCAGGGTGACAGTTAATATACTTGTTTTTGTATTGCGTGTTGTGTTTTTTCATACGATGCTGTGCGTCGGGATTTTGCTTTATCAGCAAGTTTTGTGTTAGTGTTTTGATGGCAGCGAGGTGACGACAAGAGAAGCTAATGAGCTAGTCGTACAGAAGGAAAATTGTGTTGTGGAGGAAATAAAAGAAGTTGATCTCGTCGTGGGAAATTTATTTATAACAGAACTTACAATTTCATTGGTTTAAACCAGGTTAGTCCATTATATTTTCGGCATGACAAATTACCATAAAATCGAGATTGTAATTCAAAACTCGCGTTGTTTTCAAAATTTGCATAAATCGGCCGCTGCAAAGAAATATTTAGGTTACATGTGCTTCGAAATCCCGGGGGGCACTTGGGTATTTTTTGGGTGGGTATGTGCCGCCCGGGACTCCAAATTGGCACCCCATTCTAAAAAAAAATTTCCCTAAAATTGATACCCCGTTCTAGAAATGGGCCAATTTTTTATAACCCGTTCTAGTATTCGCCGTAAAACTTACACTCCGTTCTAGAAATGGGCCGATTTTTTATACTCCGTTCTAGAAAGTTTGTAAATTGAAATAGCCCTGTTTTTTTAAAAAGATATTTCTTTATTTGTTCGACTTGTACATCAAATAAATGCTTCTTCATAATCAGTAACAATTTTAAGAAGAAGATAAAGCCGTGATCCACAATTTTTTATACCCCGTTCTAGAAAACGCCTCTGAAATGGATACCCCGTTCTAAATCAGGAGCTTCAAAATCACGACCCCGTTGGGCGGCACATACCCGTATAGGTAATGTATGGGAGTACCCCCGGGTTCGAAATACTGTACCTTCAGAGCGGCATATCTTTTACTTGTTGTGCTATATCTTTCAAAACTATCGATCGATTTTAGCTCAAAACTCTCAAAGCAGCGGTTTAAATGTTAAAGCCCGTGGCTGGTTGAAATCGTCTCTTGTTTGTTTTCAAACGATTTAGGATGGATCGAACCGACTTTGGATCGATTATTATTTTATCAACTTGTGGTATGAACGAAACCTTTTCCTTCTCGATAAAGTTCACTCAACGAATTTAGAAAGATTTACTTGACTTTTCATATGTGGAACGAACTGACTTTTTTGTGGAACGAACTGACTATTTTATGGAACGATCTGACTATTGATTGGAACGATCTGACTTGGAATTAACGATGTCAACGATCTGACCATGGAACAAAATGACCGGTTACCGTCATGCCCCTAGCAGACTACCAATGAACAAATTAAAATCTTTGTTACAGAAAACACGGAAAGTGGCACTTTTTGTATGGAAGAGTATTCGGAAAAATACACCATTGTCGTCTGAAATTCATCGTTACGTTAAAAGTAGAAAAGGTTTACACTTTAACAGGTACAGAAGTAACAGTAACGGTGTGAGGTTTTTACTTAAGTGACAACTACAAAACTAGTTCGTAAACGAGGGAAGGTGTATCTGTCGTCCAAGCAGCAGAGCACAGGCGATTTAGGTGGAATGAGATATCCAAATAGGCTTCTAAGTAAGAATTTGCCCCTCTGTACATGTAATTATCCATTTTATAGAGTTTAAAACAGTTTGAATCACCGGGTTAATTTTGGCCAATTTCTAAGCTTTGTACTGATGTAGAAAAGAATCCAGGGCCGTCAGTTTATGTAGATGCTACAAAAACAATTAATACTCCATACTGTGAAGGAAATGTTACAGGATTTGGGGAAAATGGTGGACAACGATGTGTCGCAATGAGTCTGTGCGCTTTAATTTACAGTAAGATAACAAAGATGACTTCAGTTGATGATATGACTCAAATAATGATTGTCGGTATTCAATTATATTCTTGTCTGTCACTGCTTGCAAGACAATCTATGTCAATGTTAACAGAATTGCCAGGAATGGTTACAGTGTTTGAGCAATTTTTCCACCTTGAATACAGTGACAGTTATACTTGTAACATACATCACCACTGTATATGCCACTCACAGGTTACAGTATTTCAAACACTCGTGGCACTGAACTACAACTCATTCATGTTAACGGTGGCAATTATTGGTGTTGGTATCTACAGCACTAAGGCTGGGGTATATAATGTATTTGATTCTCATGCTAGAGATATGTATCATAACAGTCATAATGAAGGGACATTTGTATTGTTGGAAATACCATCAATGCATAAATTAGTACAATATTTTCAGACTCTGCATAGGAATGAGGATATATATGAACTTAAAGGTGTAAATATTGCCGCCTTTGAACCTCATCTTTTCTCAAGCAATGTTGAAAATTGTAGTATATCAAATGTTAATAGTTACCAATGTTCCTGTAAACACTGCTGCCCTATAGCAGTTTATGCAATGTGTTACTGTCTTATTATTCCTTGTGGATACTGGACTTAAGGAACTTTATTTGCCCTTGTTAGTAACCGGAATACACTATGCAAAGTTATGGGTGTGAAAACACATCTGTCAGTATCAGTGGAGCTGAGATAAACCTTACTCTCCGGGCTGTAAACACTGATGTCCTATGTTGCAATTTGGCTCCAAGCATGTCTGCATTGAAGATGTGTATATTTTCAAACACTGTCGTGAAATGACACTATTTTTGTTGTGGATTGGGACATACTGTATTAGCTGTGTGGTTCAGCAAACAAGTGGAGTAAAGGATTTGTCTTCTCTGGTAAGAGATGATGACAGTTCTTTAGCTGCAATAAGGCACGTTCAAAGTATCATACCCATAGTACGACCACGCCCAAATATACGCTCACACAGCGTCTTGTTGTTTTAGTAAAATCCAACCAGTTGGTCAAAAATATCGAGAAAAATCAACTTTAGCTAGTGAAAGCTAGACTTTAAGCCACTATACTATACTATACTATACTATACTATACTATACTATACTATACTATACTATACTATACTATACTATACTATACTATACTATACTGTACTGTACTGTACTGTACTATACTATACTATACTATACTATACTATACTATACTATACTATACTATACTATACTATACTATACTATACTATACTATACTATACTATACTATACTATACTATACTATACTATACTATACTATACTATACTATACTATACTATACTATACTTTCATTCTCCTTCGCCAGCTCATCCGAAGGAAAATAATTTTCTTACTACCAGCTAAATGACGACACATAAACAATATAGGAAGTTGTATCGCATAAGTACAACCTTGGCATTTATTATCACCGATATTATAATATTACATGATATTATAGGCCTAGATTCTTAACAAAACTTAATCTTTGGTCTACTGATTCTTTGATGTACATATCCTTCGCCAGATCCGTTTTCCAGCGACCGTGTAATTTAAGCAGCCTCTCCTTGGAGGGATTATTTTCCAGAGTATGAGCGAGGGAAGTAGCACCCCCAGAACGGAAACTGTGAAGCCCATACAAACTTTGGTCATAGCCTAGTTTGGTCAAAGATTCCTTAAATAATTCTCTTAACCTGGAGTAGGAGACTTTCCTATTGCCTACACTGTAATTTTCAGGGAGTTATAATAACTCCTCTAGTGGGGCTAATTTAACTCCTGACAGTGGAGTTATTTTTCGTGGAGTTATTTTAACTCCAAAAAGGAGTTTAAAGAACTCTTTTTCAGGAGTAAAAGTGACCCCAGATATTGAGGAGTTAAAATAACCCCAAAAAAGGAGTTATCCTGTACCTAAAATTTTTACTCCACTTTCAGAGTCAAATTAACTCCAAAAAGAGTAAAAACAACCCCTGTAAGGAGTACAAGTAACCCCATTTCGGAGTAATTTTAACTCCAAGACTGGGAGTAAAAAGAACTCTTTTTCAGGAGTAAAAATGACCCCAAATTCGGAGTTAAATTAGGAGTTAAAATAACCCCAAAAAAGGGGTTATCCTGTACCTAAAATTTTTACTCCATTTTTGGAGTTATAATAACTCCCTAAAAATTACGGTGTATATTATATATGTAAATTAATTTTATGAAATGCCATTTTTTATCATAGATATTTTTCATTAAAGAAAACCAGGGAGGAGCAGCGTGGAAGTCAACAGAAGTAAGTTTATTTTTTATTTTATTTCTTGTTTTCTTTTCACTCGCGTTAGGAAGGACTTCCGGTTTTTTTTTCGTCCGAGGGGAACCGGTTCTAGTTTTGAAAGGTTCGAGTTTGCGCGGTATCTTTCTCCTTTCAACGGCTCTCTTCGTGAGTGGAGAGGTTTTAATCGGAGCGTGTGCGAAACGGGGACTAATATGAGCCGAGTTTGGCAAGAAATTCTATTTCCACGGTTTGCAAAGTGCCTGGGACATCATTAAGTCCGGGAAGGCTTAAATGGGCGCTCGTTGCTCAAAGAACCGAGCTTCGGGCACAATCCGAGAGACCATCCGGTGGATGGTGTATAACGTCTCTGCCCAGCTCTGCACACCGTGAAGAAGTCTCCAGCAGGTAATAAGGGGCAAATTGGTTCGTTTGGACATAAGAAAAGAGGGCCAACGAAGTTTTTGGCTGTGATTTTTGCCTTGCTGGAGACTTCTAAATTGTGTTGTTATTGCCAGGATGTAATGTGTCCCGCACGAGTTGAACACGGATTTCCCAGAATGCACTGAGAGAGGTTAAAAACATGTTTAATATTTGACCATTACAGTGAGACTGTTCTGTTGTTGTGTTTCAGTTTCTACGACGGAGGTGCTGATCTTTGAATAAGCGAGCAACAACGGTGAGTAGCAGGCATTTTGCCAGGAAAGGTTATGTTACAAAGTCGTGAAAGTGTAGTTCAAATCAAAGTCTGTGGTTTCGTATAGCGAAGGTTTAATTTTGGTCATGTCGAGCGACTCTGGAAATTTACTGTGTTTAAAAAGAGCCGCCGTCCTACTGCACAGGCTGAATTGTCGTTCATTTTCAATTTATTGTTGGCATTGCAAGCTAAATGCTGATCGGATCGCGGAAGAGTAACTATTTTTCCTCAAAGCATGTTAAAGTTCCCGCGCTATAGCACCGTCGCGACGACGAGCGCCATTTATGCTTGATTCTCCGGAATGTTCGGTACAATGTTTTTAATCTGCTTTATGCACCGGTACGGCGATTATAAAACCATTGCAGGATGAAACTGATCTAGAGAAAATGATGTAGAAGAGATATATTACTTTTTTTAAACACGTGTTGAGGAATTTTCTTTAAACAAGGTTTTCCTTTTGTCCTTTTCTTTCAGATGTGGCCGTTGGTTTTACCCGCCCCCTCGGAGCTGGAATATTTACTCTCTGAAATGTTTATGTTATCTGTGCTCTGCTGTGGTCAAACACGAAGAAAGTGAAGCGAAACGTCTTGTAAGATAACGTTAATTCAAAACTACTTGCTTGACCAGTGATTAGTCTTCGAAAATCGCCTATATTGAAACTACATCTCTGTATTTCTCACCTCCTGACCCGTCTTTTGAAATTCAATCCTACGCTCAGTACGGCGATGTAATTGATATGTAACGCAACGTAATTTGGTATCCTGCCCAGAAGTCCCTCAAACGATAACCCTCAACAAACCGTACTTCTTGTTTGTAACCTTTATCCTTATTTAACCCTAAGCCTTAGCTCAACTTTAGCTATCACCCTAACCAGCTTAACGTAACACCCTTTTCCTGACAAGGCAAACGTTTAACTCAGTCGATCAACTCATGTGTTATGACCATTGAAATCAGTTGAGACTGCTCGTCTAACCCTAACCCTCCAACTTAACCCTAGCCTATTCCTAACCCTAACCCCAACCTCGACCTAATCTGATTTCTAACCCTAACCCTATCCCTAGTCCTTACCCTAACCTAACCCTAACCCCAACCTTAACCTTAACCCTAACCCTAACTCTTCTTCCCTCTTCTCCCCCTACCCCCCTGCTCTTACATTTAGTAGTATACAGTAAAAACTAAGTAATAGGTGCTTTTCGAAGTTAGCCTCAAAAGGCTCTTATAAATTTTCTGTTTCTTGGAAATTAAGCTGTTTAGGTTCTCAAACATTCGAGGTTCTTATTTTCTTAAGGAAAAAAGACTTTTTGGAAGAATGTTGGTGGTTTTAAATGTTTGTACAAAATATGAATGTTGTTATGTCTAAATGACTGCAATTTAGGCCAATAGAAACTTTTTTTTGCCATTAGAATGATTAGTTGACTTTAAGAACTCCATAGCGATCTGTTTTAACATTTGTACTTCATCAGGTTCTTTCAAAATCTTAGCCTGAAGAATTCTGGTTTTTATCTGTGCCTCTCCTCTGTGTCACTAACCTGACACAATAATGATTGACACGTGCATGTTTCACTGTACAGTATTTTTCAGATGAAATAAAATACTGATTTGGATTGTTTTTGTTATATTGGGGGCAATTAAAGTCTTAGTGAAAACTATACACTGTAATTTTCAGGGAGTTATAATAACTCCTCTAGTGGGGCTAATTTAACTCCTGACAGTGGAGTTATTTTTCGTGGAGTTATTTTAACTCCAAAAAGGAGTTTAAAGAACTCTTTTTCAGGAGTAAAAGTGACCCCAGATATTGAGGAGTTAAAATAACCCCAAAAAAGGAGTTATCCTGTACCTAAAATTTTTACTCCACTTTCAGAGTCAAATTAACTCCAAAAAGAGTAAAACAACCCCTGTAAGGAGTACAAGTAACCCCATTTCGGAGTAATTTTAACTCCAAGACTGGGAGTAAAAGAACTCTTTTCAGGAGTAAAAATGACCCCAAATTCGGAGTTAAATTAGAGTTAAAATAACCCCAAAAAAGGGGTTATCCTGTACCTAAAATTTTTACTCCATTTTTGGAGTTATAATAACTCCCTAAAAATTACGGTGTATATTATATATGTAAATTAATTTTATGAAATGCCATTTTTTATCATAGATATTTTTCATTAAAGAAAACCAGGGAGGAGCAGCGTGGAAGTCAACAGAAGTAAGTTTATTTTTTATTTTATTTCTTGTTTTCTTTTCACTCGCGTTAGGAAGGACTTCCGGTTTTTTTTTCGTCCGAGGGGAACCGGTTCTAGTTTTGAAAGGTTCGAGTTTGCGCGGTATCTTTCTCCTTTCAACGGCTCTCTTCGTGAGTGGAGAGGTTTTAATCGGAGCGTGTGCGAAACGGGGACTAATATGAGCCGAGTTTGGCAAGAAATTCTATTTCCACGGTTTGCAAAGTGCCTGGGACATCATTAAGTCCGGGAAGGCTTAAATGGGCGCTCGTTGCTCAAAGAACCGAGCTTCGGGCACAATCCGAGAGACCATCCGGTGGATGGTGTATAACGTCTCTGCCCAGCTCTGCACACCGTGAAGAAGTCTCCAGCAGGTAATAAGGGGCAAATTGGTTCGTTTGGACATAAGAAAAGAGGGCCAACGAAGTTTTTGGCTGTGATTTTTGCCTTGCTGGAGACTTCTAAATTGTGTTGTTATTGCCAGGATGTAATGTGTCCCGCACGAGTTGAACACGGATTTCCCAGAATGCACTGCGAGAGAGGTTAAAAACATGTTTAATATTTGACCATTACAGTGAGACTGTTCTGTTGTTGTGTTTCAGTTTCTACGACGGAGGTGCTGATCTTTGAATAAGCGAGCAACAACGGTGAGTAGCAGGCATTTTGCCAGGAAAGGTTATGTTACAAAGTCGTGAAAGTGTAGTTCAAATCAAAGTCTGTGGTTTCGTATAGCGAAGGTTTAATTTTGGTCATGTCGAGCGACTCTGGAAATTTACTGTGTTTAAAAAGAGCCGCCGTCCTACTGCACAGGCTGAATTGTCGTTCATTTTCAATTTATTGTTGGCATTGCAAGCTAAATGCTGATCGGATCGCGGAAGAGTAACTATTTTTCCTCAAAGCATGTTAAAGTTCCCGCGCTATAGCACCGTCGCGACGACGAGCGCCATTTATGCTTGATTCTCCGGAATGTTCGGTACAATGTTTTTAATCTGCTTTATGCACCGGTACGGCGATTATAAAACCATTGCAGGATGAAACTGATCTAGAGAAAATGATGTAGAAGAGATATATTACTTTTTAAACACGTGTTGAGGAATTTTCTTTAAACAAGGTTTTCCTTTTGTCCTTTTCTTTCAGATGTGGCCGTTGGTTTTACCCGCCCCCTCGGAGCTGGAATATTTACTCTCTGAAATGTTTATGTTATCTGTGCTCTGCTGTGGTCAAACACGAAGAAAGTGAAGCGAAACGTCTTGTAAGATAACGTTAATTCAAAACTACTTGCTTGACCAGTGATTAGTCTTCGAAAATCGCCTATATTGAAACTACATCTCTGTATTTCTCACCTCCTGACCCGTCTTTTGAAATTCAATCCTACGCTCAGTACGGCGATGTAATTGATATGTAACGCAACGTAATTTGGTATCCTGCCCAGAAGTCCCTCAAACGATAACCCTCAACAAACCGTACTTCTTGTTTGTAACCTTTATCCTTATTTAACCCTAAGCCTTAGCTCAACTTTAGCTATCACCCTAACCAGCTTAACGTAACACCCTTTTCCTGACAAGGCAAACGTTTAACTCAGTCGATCAACTCATGTGTTATGACCATTGAAATCAGTTGAGACTGCTCGTCTAACCCTAACCCTCCAACTTAACCCTAGCCTATTCCTAACCCTAACCCCAACCTCGACCTAATCTGATTTCTAACCCTAACCCTATCCCTAGTCCTTACCCTAACCTAACCCTAACCCCAACCTTAACCTTAACCCTAACCCTAACTCTTCTTCCCTCTTCTCCCCTACCCCCTGCTCTTACATTTAGTAGTATACAGTAAAAACTAAGTAATAGGTGCTTTTCGAAGTTAGCCTCAAAAGGCTCTTATAAATTTTCTGTTTCTTGGAAATTAAGCTGTTTAGGTTCTCAAACATTCGAGGTTCTTATTTTCTTAAGGAAAAAAAGACTTTTTGGAAGAATGTTGGTGGTTTTAAATGTTTGTACAAAATATGAATGTTGTTATGTCTAAATGACTGCAATTTAGGCCAATAGAAACTTTTTTTTTTTGCCATTAGAATGATTAGTTGACTTTAAGAACTCCATAGCGATCTGTTTTAACATTTGTACTTCATCAGGTTCTTTCAAAATCTTAGCCTGAAGAATTCTGGTTTTTATCTGTGCCTCTCCTCTGTGTCACTAACCTGACACAATAATGATTGACACGTGCATGTTTCACTGTACAGTATTTTTCAGATGAAATAAAATACTGATTTGGATTGTTTTTGTTATATTGGGGGCAATTAAAGTCTTAGTGAAAACTATACACTGTAATTTTCAGGGAGTTATAATAACTCCTCTAGTGGGGCTAATTTAACTCCTGACAGTGGAGTTATTTTTCGTGGAGTTATTTTAACTCCAAAAGGAGTTTAAAGAACTCTTTTCAGGAGTAAAAGTGACCCCAGATATTGAGGAGTTAAAATAACCCCAAAAAGGAGTTATCCTGTACCTAAAATTTTTACTCCACTTTCAGAGTCAAATTAACTCCAAAAGAGTAAAAACAACCCCTGTAAGGAGTACAAGTAACCCCATTTCGGAGTAATTTTAACTCCAAGACTGGGAGTAAAAAGAACTCTTTTCAGGAGTAAAAATGACCCCAAATTCGGAGTTAAATTAGGAGTTAAAATAACCCCAAAAAGGGGTTATCCTGTACCTAAAATTTTTACTCCATTTTTGGAGTTATAATAACTCCCTAAAAATTACGGTGTATATTATATATGTAAATTAATTTTATGAAATGCCATTTTTATCATAGATATTTTTCATTAAAGAAAACCAGGGAGGAGCAGCGTGGAAGTCAACAGAAGTAAGTTTATTTTTTATTTTATTTCTTGTTTTTTCTTTTCACTCGCGTTAGGAAGGACTTCCGTTTTTTTTTTTTTTCGTCCGAGGGGAACCGGTTCTAGTTTTGAAAGGTTCGAGTTTGCGCGGTATCTTTCTCCTTTCAACGGCTCTCTTCGTGAGTGGAGAGGTTTTAATCGGGCGTGTGCGAAACGGGGACTAATATGAGCCGAGTTTGGCAAGAAATTCTATTTCCACGGTTTGCAAAGTGCCTGGGACATCATTAAGTCCGGGAAGGCTTAAATGGGCGCTCGTTGCTCAAAGAACCGAGCTTCGGGCACAATCCGAGAGACCATCCGGTGGATGGTGTATAACGTCTCTGCCCAGCTCTGCACACCGTGAAGAAGTCTCCAGCAGGTAATAAGGGGCAAATTGGTTCGTTTGGACATAAGAAAAGAGGGCCAACGAAGTTTTTGGCTGTGATTTTTGCCTTGCTGGAGACTTCTAAATTGTGTTGTTATTGCCAGGATGTAATGTGTCCCGCACGAGTTGAACACGGATTTCCCAGAATGCACTGCGAGAGAGGTTAAAAACATGTTTAATATTTGACCATTACAGTGAGACTGTTCTGTTGTTG